ACTCTTGGCACCAGCAGCCAGGAAATTAAAAGACATATTGCGTTGGAAAAGTCTGCTGTCAGAGACCTCTCCAAAGTACTGAAGAACAGTTATGTCAGTCTGGAGACTAAGACGCACCTGATACAAGCCATGGTCTTTGCAGTCACTTGCTATGTATCAGGGCTGGACAATGACTAGGGATGATAGAAGGTGAATTGATTCCTTTGAACTGTGGTGCTGGAGAGGGGTCTTGAATATACCATGGACTGCTAAGAGAACAAACAGGTTCATCCTGAGGAGGGTGAGACCAGGTTGCTCTTTGAAGGTAAGGATTCTGAAGCTTCATCTGACATACTTTGAACATGTTGCAAGGAGAGACCAGTCCTTGGAGAAGGATGTCATGCTTGGGAGGATGGAGGGACAGTGCAGGAGAGAAAGAGCCTCAATAAGATGGATAGATTCAGTGACTAGAATAATGGGTCAGGTGTGTCGGAGACAATAAAATTGGTACAGGATAGAGTGGGGTTTAGGGCTGTTATACATAGGGTAGTTTTGAGTCGCAGATGACTTGACGGCACATAACAACAACAACCACCACAACATACAACCAGTGTTGTGGTGGTTGTTGTTAAGTACCATCGGGTCGTAGGTGTTTCATAGTGACCATATGATTGAAAGGCCTGAACACTTGTGTGACTTTCATTGTTTCTCCAAGTTCAAAGGGTTTCTGGAGGCAAGCTGTTTCAGAAGAGGATGCCACTCCAGCTTCCAAGCTTGTTTTAATCAGGGAGCTCCACCAAACACTGTTTAACATATAACAACAACAACAACATACAACCATTGAGAGATGGCCAAATGATTTGGCTCTTCAAGCCATGTTTAGTATCAAAAATTAAAGACAGAAAAGAAATTGAGCTTAGTATAGAGGAAACTTTTCAAATGCCAGTGCTGTGAGAGACCTTGGATATCATCCCATCCACCCCCTTCACTAAGCATCTGAGATTCAACAATGGTTAAAAGAGCTGATGAAAATCATGGAGCTCATCAGTGGCAGTGCAGAGTCTAGAACTCACATCTCCTGACTCCCCGGCTCAGTCCTCCCTTCACAATGCTGCCTACTAAGCCCATGTTCTTTCCATCCCAGCACGTTTGTGAGGTTGTTGTTGCTAAGAACCAAAAATGCATTATGTGCTTAGCATGCTGTTTGTTGCCACCATGAGGATTCCAACTCATGGCAACCCCCTGTGGGCAGAGGGAATCTGCTCTGAAAAGTTTTCAAGACTGTGACCTTTCAGAAGCCAGTCAACAGGCCTGTCTTCTAAGGAGCCTATGTGTGGTTTGAACCCCCAGTCTTTGAGCTAGTAGCCAAACACATAACTGTGCCATCCCAGTGTTCCTTAATTCTCCCAGTTCCCTGCCCACATAATCAACCACTTAGCAAGGACAACAGTGCAGGGAGAATTGAACATGGTCTTGACTAGATTGCCACATGTGATTTTTGCAGGATAGTAGATTATAACTGAGGTGAATAAAGGAACATATTTCAGCAAAATAGAAGTGAAAAAAGAAAACAAAACCTGGACCCTTTATCATGAACAGTCATATGCAGCAGTATAAAATGCTGACCTTAAACTTGGGTTTCTTAATACTGTACCCAAAGCTGGCATCCTATCAGATTCTTCTGCAGGATTTTCTTAATAATCAAAGCCCAAGCACACTGGCCATGGGTCGGTTCTGACCCTCCATGAGATTATAATCTTCACCTGAACACACTGCCAACTTTTCCTCGCAGGAGCAATTGGTGGATCCCAACTGCTGACCTTGTGGTTAACAACCAGATATGCTCCACAGTGTGCTATTAGGGGTCCTTTTAATGAATGTCAGCGAGGACTAAAGGACTCTTAAGTCTATCTTTAACCCACTGACAATGATGATGAGGAAAAAATATGTGTCAAATGCAATTTTTAGCAAAAAGAATATTCTGATAACAGCAGAAGAAGACACAGAAATGCTAGCAGGAAGCCAGGAGCTTTAAAATTTTGAAATGCCAGCATAAAATCCCACATACACCCAAAATAATCATGATGAATGCCAAATCAATTGCAAAAGCTCCCAGGCCCAAGCTACATCGATTTCTCTTTTTTGCACAAAACTGTGTCTTTCCTGAGCTACTTAGCTGTGGAGAATTCTGCCCCTGGCTGACTTCTTTTGAATTCCTCATAATTAGTCTCTCTGCCAATCTGAGCTGGCCACCCAGGAGAAGAGTAGCCGGGGGGCCCCCAAATGATGAGAACGTGGGGAAGCGGATGAGCGACGGGGTGGAAATGGCTGGTGATCAGTTGAGAAGGTAGCATGCCTCTCTCACGAATCTGTCTTCTCTCCACAGGTTACGTGGACATTGGCCTCATTCCAAAAGGAGCCAGGGACATACGGGTGATGGAGGTTGAGGGAGCTGGGAACTTCCTAGCCATCAGGAGTGAAGACCCAGAAAAATATTACCTGAATGGAGGGTTTATCATCCAGTGGAATGGGAACTACAAGCTGGCAGGGACAGTCTTTCAGTATGACAGGAAAGGTGACCTGGAGAAGCTGATGGCAGCAGGGCCCACCAATGAATCCGTGTGGCTCCAGGTAAAGCTGAAGGCAAGGGACCTGGTGACATGCCCATTCATTAGGACTGCCCGGTGTTCTCCTCCTTCACATTTCTCAGAGGACTGAGCAAAAATGCTTAATAATTTTTTTATAAATATGAAAAGAAGACAAATATTAATTTAAGCTTTTTATCATTAACCAAACTAAAAATCATACCTACTGCTTTCAAGTAATTTTGATTGATAGACACAAGACAGAGCTAAATTCCCCCATAAGGTTTCCAAGGCTGTAAATCTTTATGGAAGTAGACTGTTACATCTTTCTCCCATGGAGCAAGTGGTAGGTTTGAGCCGCCAACCTTAGCCGCACAGCAGACCTCTTGCACTGGGCCTTTTTGTTTAAAAAAAAACCCCACTGCGCCTTCAAGTTGGCCCTGACTCATAGCAACACTTGACCCTCCACTGGGATTCCAGGCTGTAATCTTTATGGGAGGAAGCAGCTCATCTTCCTCAATCCCTTTGAATGGTTGGTGGGTTCAAATACCTGACCTTTAAGTTAACAGCCACAATACTGGGCTCATTCCTTAGTTCACAGTGGCTTAGAAATGGCTGGCAGCCCTATAAGGAAATGCTGAGGCCTTTACTCTATTGTTGTTGTCATCATGAGCTGTGGAGGTAGAACTGACTCATTGCTGACCCTCCAAAGGCTGTAAATCGCATGGGAGATTGTCCATCTGTCCCCTGAGGAGAAGCTGATGAATTTTAACCACCTGCCTTTGGGTTGACAGCACAACTCTTTACTCCCAAGGCCACCAGAGCTTTCTCTAATGCTCTGTGAGGCTTGAAGTTAGTGTCAAGTATGATAGACTCAGGGAGTGCTGGTGGCATAATGGCAAGAAGCTGCACTGCAATCCTAAAGGCACGAAGTTCAAATCCATCATGCCTTCTCCTCCTGTGCAATTAAACTGCCTCTTCCACCCACTGAAGGGTCAACAAGAGTCGATTGTGACTTGACAGTACACAACAATAACTTACAGACACAGGTTAAGGACTTCTTGTCTAGATCCATGGCTGGTTAACTCCTTTAAAGTATGGCCATTCTGAAATAAACATAAACATGGGTTTCAGCTAATGTGTGCCTTCTTCAGCCTTCCCCAAACTCCCCTCTCTGCACTCAGTCTACTTACCACAAATCAGTCGTGAGTCAGTGGGAGGGTTGCTACCCTGGTTTGGACATTCTCACGTAGAATTCGTTCCAGTGTGGACAGGAACGGTAAAAGCATGTCTGACGCTGGCAGCTTTCTGCTCTCTGGATCTTCAATGGCCTCACTCAGTCTTCTGTAAGGCTGCATCAGGGCCCAATGGCCATTTGCAGTCCTCTGCAAACCCCCTTTTCCTCTGCTGGTGTCATTTTTTCCAGGCCTTGCTACATACAGTTCCCCGCAGAAGAAACTTTAATGTTTTGGAAGACTGTGTGATGCCTTCTCTGCAATGTCACACGCCCTGTCTGAGAACGCCTACTGATAGCAGGTGAAAGGGCTGTGTCAACCACCAACTTTTCCCTAATAGCAGACAACTTAGGCATTTGCACTAAGATAGGCGAATTTCTAAAATACCATTTTCTCCAATGCATACCTCCATAGCTACTTTAGCATGATGGGCATGTGTTATGTTTTAGGTGTGAGAGATTTGGCGTGACCCCTCTCTTGCCTTTTAGCTCCTGTTCCAGGTGACTAACCCTGGCATTAAGTATGAGTACACAATCCGGAAGGACGGCTTTGACAATGACGTGGAGAAGCTAGAGTACTTCTGGCAGTACGGCCGCTGGACAGAGTGCAGTGCTACGTGCGGGACAGGTGAGAAGTGCCACCCTCTGTGGCCCCAGATGCAGAGCAGACCAGTAGGGGTCACCTAAGCCATGGAGGTCTGAATTCAGCCACAAGGCTTCAGGGCTGCACAGAGATGCTCTGTCTTGTGTGTGCTGTAGCCATGCAGGTAGATGAACTAAAGTAAGAAGCAGCTTTTCTTTTATCAGCTTTACTTAGCGGCCTCTGTGGAAATACTTGTTTGGGGTGTTTTTTGGTTTTTTAATTAGCATACTTTTTAACCTTTTCATTTCATATGTGGGGTTTTTTTAAGCTGTGTTGTCCATTTTTAAAATTTTTATTGGTTTACATACAATTATTCATACTGTTATTGTGCACCATTGAGTCAAAACCAAACCATAATTGACCTACAGTGGCTCTTCAGGGAGAGTAAATTTCTTGGGAGGAGATTGCCTATCCTTCTGTAGAGCAGCTGGTAGATTTGAACCAAATGCCTATGGAATTGCGGCACAGCTTCTTACCACTAGGCCACCAGATCATGTTTTGTAAATATACCATGTAGCACTAAGGAGCTAATGATTTCATAAAATATTATATAAGTTGAGAGACTAGAAATCAATTTGCTGAATGAAATATCTCAGTCATATAAGGAAAAATATTGCATAAGACCACTATTGTGAAAATAGGCGGATTACTTGAAGATATGTATAAATGTTAAAAGAGGAGAGAAGAAGGCAGGCAGAAAAAGGAGAATGGGGGGGGGAGTCACTGGGTAATTTTTTTATTTAAAAAAAAAAAAAGGTTGCATAGCTTTTACTAAAGCTTAAAAGCCACAGCTCTCTCTGAGATCCCCAAGACCCCAGAAGATAACCAATCACCCAAAGGCTTCTGTAAATCCTGGCTGGATACAGACTGTAACTAATTCTTCCGTTCATCTTCCTTCTCCATTTACTGGGCTTTTAAATCAACTACATAGTTTTATCTCATAGCCAAGCAGTGGAGAAATTAAAATGCTGGAAAACATTAGTCAGGATGGGAAAAGCTCTGCTACAGTAACAAGAAAATCCGATTCACAGTAGTTCAGCACAACGCAAGTTTAATTCCGAATCTGAAGCAGATTGGGTGTCCTTGTAGATTGGCTCATAACCTCTTGAAGGTGGCACATCTTGGTCTTGGTCTTGGTCACATGGGCACAATCTAACTGCAAATGGAGAGGGGAGAATAATGACTCACATCCTTAGTCGCTCATCAGAAGATGAGCAAGAGTACATTTTCTGGGAAGAAGCATCTGCATAAAGCGTTGACACATGTTCTGGTCTTACTCGAAGTTTCAAGACTCTTTATTAAAAAGAAAAGAAAATATTTTGGAAAAAATTCAAGATTACTTACAGAGAAATGTACAAGCCATATGATGAAGCCAGGCTTCATTGCAGCCTGGGTTTTGCTGAGTCCTGTCAGCTATAATACCAGAATATTAACCAGAAGCTCCTTGTAGCCTGCAAAACACATAGGAACAACACTGCAGTTAGAACATGAGTCATCACGTTTAAGCATGACCTCTACTGGTTTGGGGCTGTGTAGTTTCTTCTATTCTGCACTTTTTGGTTTGCATATACAATGGACAATATGAAAGGAAGAGAACTTCCCCCTGCCCTCTCTGAGTTTAAGTTTCTCTTCACCCCTACTTGGCTGAATTCTCTTTGGAGTTATTCATTATTCCCTTGATGCGGGGAACATCATCTTCTGAAAACCAAAGCAAAACACTAAGACTTCAATAGATGAAACAAAGTTCCTGGGGATTACTGAAATAGTTCTGAACTACCCGAGGAACTATGTTATATCAATAAACTATAGGTAGATAGAGTTGTTGCTGTGTACCTTAGAGTCAGAACTGAGCCATAGCTGAGCCTCCTGTGGGTTTTCAGAGGCAATTAATCACAGAGGAGGAGACTGCCCATCTTTCTCCTACAGAGCAGCTGATGGCCTCACACCACATGCCTTTAGGATTGCAGCACAGCAGCAGATACTTCTGATTACTAGACTAGTTCTTACAGGTTCTAGCCCAGATTCCCTCCCATCAAAGCTCAAAGTAAAGTCATTTGCTCTGATGTGTATCCACATGGCCTTCATAGAGCGTGAGGATTGTAAATAAGAACACACACCATCATCTGCTCCAGCCCTGACTGGTGACATTGGACTAATGCAATGGAATTCACTTCTTTGGGCCAATTAGGATTAGATAGTTCTTTGACTTTTTTCAAGTATGATAATCTTAGTGCTGACGCATGTGCCTCTCTGATCATAAGAACCCTAACTATAATTGTCAAGTAGAGTCAATCAAGCCTGGCTGTTGACCCCTAATAATATCTAAATGGTTTTTCAATCTAGGGTTTACTAAAGATATTATAATTTAGAGAGATGGATTTCCTTATACTATGACATGAAGACTACATAGTTTACCATGTGCCAAACTCAACTTGCCATTGAGTCAATTCTGACCAGTGGTGACTGTAGAACAGAGTAGAACTCTGTTTCCCACTCACAGGGTTTCCAAGGTTGTCGTAATCCTTTACAAAAGCAGCCACTAGATATCCATCCTTCCCTTATTTTCAGGTCCTTAGATTCACCCCCTCCCCAGTGCTGTGCTTGCAGAGACCATCTCAGTTGTGTTTTCTGAAGGCTCACTTTGCTCACTGTGCCCTGTGAAATGCTGGCCTGCCTTACTTGTTAACCCCCACACGTGAGATTTCATGTGCTTCAGATTTCTGTAATACCATGCTTTATCTGATTTGCAAGCAGTAGTACACAAGGGGAAGAAGACTGAAGTATCTTTTGAGCCTGGATCCTTCCAGGGTGGACTCTTTGACTACCTCACGTGCTTCCCAACATTGGCAATGCCCCTGCTTGAGCTTTTATTACATAATTTCTTATAAGCTGCCTCTCACCATGGCAGTTAATTAATACACTTGTTTTGCCATTTCAAGGGCAATATTTGTATGCATGGCAGGCAAGAGAGAAACACTGATTTTTTAGTCCTGTTTTTCTATGAGCTATGACTTCCACAGATGGATGATAATGCAATCAAATCCCATTAATTGACATCCACTTAACAAGTACAGCTATTCCCGTCAGTGCCATCATCACCCTTTACAGATAGGGAAGAAGAAAAAAAAAGAATGATACAGCTTATGGCTCAGTTGTACGCAGAATGGATACATAGGAGCATCCATCAGTTCCAATGCAACAGCCATGAGTTTGAGGATTGGGTTTTTTGGTTTTGGGGTGTATTTTGGTTTTTTTGTTTGTTTTATTTATTTTTTTAATTTTGGTTTTTAAAAAAATAAGATCAAAACTTTCCTTAACTGAGCCATCACTATCAAAGTTAAACCTGAATTCATTGATCAAGAAAAACAAAGCTGAAAAAATGAAGGGAGCCAAAAAGAACGAAGTAATTGAAATAAAGGTGTTAGTGTTGTTGTTGTTGTTGTTGTCATTGTTGTTGTTGTCAGCTCATAGCTGACCCTCCAGTGGTTTTTCAGAGGCAGTTAATTGCATACGAAGAGATTGCCCATCTTTCTTCCACAAAGCAGCTGGTGGATTTCAGCCACACACCTTTGGGTTGCCAGCACAACTCCATACCACTAAGCCACCAGAGTTGAAATGGATTTGTGAACTAGACAGATTGTTTATTCCATTTCTTGGAGAGTACTCCCCTTCTTCCTGTGAATCAGTGTTACTTCTTTGCCTTTTGAGGGCTTGTAGTGACAAAGCCTTTGCCGACTTACAGAATTATTGTCATCCCACTCTATTAAAATCTATGCCGCTGCTCAATTTTAAAAGGATTAACGTTAGTGTGCTAAAATAAAGTATGATGTGCACCACTATTGTTCTCACTTAAACAGTTTTGAAGAAAGAGACCTTGCTATTTGTCACTGTTTCAAATATTAAGCGTGCAATACTGTGACTGTCTTGAAGACGATATAATTAATTACTGTTTACCTGAGGTTTCTTTGGATCTAAATTCAGATATAAAAGAAAATCCTATACCCTTTTTTTTCTGCTATGAGTCATTACAATAAATTAAGTCTTTAGTTTTTGGGTTTGTTTTGGGTTTTTTTCATTTCCTTAAGTTTTTAAGTTGGGAATATTTTGCATGAACGAAATAGATATACAACATATTCCCTTCATACTACTATTTCAACACTGAAATGAGGCAATGATAAGCTATGACATTGTTATTTTGAAAAAATATAGAGCTTTAATTTTCTTTCGATCATGGTATAGTCTCTACTGATAACGATCAGAAGAGTAAAGTGTATGAGTGAAGAGAGTTCTTTTTAAAAAGTTTTTAAAATTTATTCATTATTGCACATTTCCCCTCCCACTTCCCTCTCCTCCTCTACCCCCAGAATGCCTCCCTTTTCCGACCCTAGTTCTTAAACGTTACTGTTAGGTACTATCGAGTCAACTGTAATTCATAGTGACACTATGAAAACACATCAAAACCTTGCCCTATCCTGCACTGTCATCGTTGTCTTGGCCATGCTCAAGCCAATTCCAGTCAATATGTCAGCCCATCTTATTCAGAGTTTTCTTCTCTTTTGCTCACCCTTTACCTTCCCAACATGATGTGGTTTTCCAAAGACCAACGCCTCCTGACAGCATGCTCAAGGTATATGTGTCAAAGTGTTTAAAAGTTGTTTTAGGTGCCATTGACTCAAGTATGATGCATAGCAACCCTATGAACAATGGATCTAAACACTGCCTATCCTATGCCATCCTCATTATCTCTCATGTTCAAGATCGTTGTTAGAGTGAGTGTCAATCCACTTGGTAGAGGGTCTTCCTCTCTTTCTCTGAGCCTCTACCTTTCCAAGCGTGATTTCCTTATCTAAAGATCAGTACCTCCTAACCACATGCCCAAAATATGTGAGGTTAAACGTAACCATCATTGCTGCCAAGGAGCAGCACCCTGATTGTGCTTCCTCCAAAACAAGATTTATTTGTTCTTTGAGCAGTCTCCAACACCA